AGCAGGAGCTCCATGATGTCACCTGTTGGTGGCTATGTGCACTAGAGGATTTGAGTGGATCGTCAATTGAACTATTTAGCTTTTGAATGAATCATTTGTAGTCTTATTGGGCAATTGCAATGTTTCTTTTAAATGAAAATGTTGTCTGTTTTGCTTTGCTTACTTTCTGGGTGTTTTTTCGATATGCGTGATCATAAGACTCCCCAAACAGGACTTTTGTGACTGAAGACTCAATAGTGGAGAGCCATCTCACTGAGATAGCTTCAGGGAGCCACTAGGACTCTACCAGTAAAAGACAAATCAATTACATTCAATGCTGATTGTATTTTGGTGTTTGCTTCACAATGTGTGTGTGTTTATGCTTTGCTTCGTTCATGGACACAACTTCACCCTCAGTGGCGATTTTTCTTCTCTTTCTCTCTCTCTCTTGCTCTCCACTTTCAGGACCAGGACCTCACATCTTTGAATAACCCATCTTCTTTTCAGTTTGGCTCAGCAGCTTATTGGTTGGGGGTATGAAGTTCCTGATTCATCCTGATTTCCTGGCAATCCTCCTTGGAAGCTTCGATGCTTCCTTGCCTTTCCCGACAGCTCGAGTGGCATCAGGTGAAGTTAGTCTGTCAGGGAATTTATGGGTGGTGTTGCCTTTTCATGCTGCTTCAGACTTGCCTATTGTGCTGACCTTGTCCCGAGATGTGGGTATATGGCAGCAGCATATTCAGTTGCTTTCACTTTCAGTGGCTGATGTTGCCGAGGATAATGGCTCTTATGCAATTGGCTGTGATTTTGCTTGTTTGGGCTGTTCTGCCAGTTAAATGGCAGCTTAGATGCCTTGGCTGGTGTGAGTGTGGTTGCATCTTGTTATTTATGGTTGGGGCTTTAGAGGCATTGCAATAGTTGCTTGCTCCTCTCCTTTCAGGAGCTTCTCTTCTGCATGTGTCTTGCTGTCAGGCCATATAGACCTTAGATTTGGCTTAGTCCTCATCCCTTTCATTTTCCCCTTTTCACCTTTAGTTTCCTGAGGATGCTGTATCTTTGGTTCTTTTGGTTGCAGTGGTAGCTTTTCTGTCTCAGTTGTCTATTTTTGCAGAAAGGTCTCGCTCCCACTGCTCGGTGGAGGTAGTTTTGGGGCAGAGATTTGACTATTTTTTTGTTTTATTTATATATATGTTACGGCCCTCTCGGGACGCAACGGGGTCCTTACTCTGATGTTGTTAGAGGAAGATATATGTATCCGTTCCCAAGCCAGTAGTGGCTATCAAGGGATGAGATCCGTGACGCAAGTAACTTAAAGGGAGTAGGGAAAGAAAGCTAAGAACTTAATATTATACTTATCACCATCACCAATTAAATATATAAAATCAAAAAGTGCACAGGGGGAGGGGTATTAACACTATACAAGGGGATTATGCACAATATAGTCTTCTGCTGAAGACTCTGGATCAAGAAGCTAGGTGCTGAGTCCGCGGTGCTTTCTTCGTGGCCTCACGACGTGTCCTCTGAGAATGCCGAGCCTACCCGGGCCACAGGTCAGCCAAAACACAGGTCCACGGGGGGCACCGCCGTGGAGGCCGTCAACCACACGTCCAGCTGGTCTGCTGGCAGGTTCTGAGCCAACAAGGCTGGTACGGCCACTCCACGAACGATAAAAGGGGAACGCCCTAGACAGGAGCCTCGTGTGACAACACAAGTCACTCTCCTGTCTTCAGTACCCCAGTGGATGATCGTCTCCAACAGTCGGTCCCGGGTAAATCCTCTTACTGCCACTCCACTGGCAGGCTAACACACCACAGTGTTCTTCCGGGGGGGGACGACTTCACAACAGCTGCAGCAACGTTCAAGGTATGGAGACTGGTTGCCTCGGGTAGACTGACTCAACCCTCAACACAGTGGTCCCAGGTCGACTCTGTAAACAGACACGTCATCAATGACTGGGACACACTAAAACACCTCACTCACGGGCTCGGGCACAAACACCTGACGTATCCAGTCCATAGATGGGGCAGTCGTCGGAGCACCACCTCACCAGAGGTCAGTGGCGGCGGTGTTGAGCGCTGAACCAGACTGGAAACTGGTCCTCGAGGCCAGTACACGCTGTCCTCACCAGGTGTCGTCGTCCGTTTGGCGGGGGTTTCGGGAGCTGACCCACAGATGGCGTGGTTGTCACTGCTCCAGGCTCGGACGCTGGATCCGGGTTCGTAACAATATACAAGAGTTCTTATATTCTTATAAAGCCACTAGCACTCATAGCATTTTGGGCAGGCCCCTAATCCTAATTTTTCACTGGAATACGACCCACCAAATCGTTTAACAACCAGGTTCCCATTCACTGCTGGGTGAACAAAGGCTACAGTTAAGGATTGGCGCCCAGTCAATCCTTCCCGGCCAGGATACGAACCCTGACTGTTGGACAGGGTAGGTTTCTGGAGATATTGCTATTCATATGACCCAGGTATTTCTGGGGTCATTGTACTCAGTTTGGGTATCGCTTCTTTTTGATTGTTCTCTCTTACACGTGCATCAACTCAGGGTTCTTCACACCTGTTGTTTCATAATTCGCCCCTTTGATAGCACTGTGAGGAAAAAGTCTGACCTGTTTTATCAACTCTTGGTCCCATGATGCACTTGGGCCCTCCAGATAGTATTCTGGGACCTACAGTGCAGGTGGTATTGGTATCGGGGGTCCTGGGGCATGAAGCCCAGTTCACAGCTCCTCTCAGTTATCACCGAGTGATTGGATGCTGGAGTGATGGAATTAACTCCTGCTCTGTGGTGGGTGCTCTTGGTCCCCAAGTAGGACTCTCCAGATTTAAGATATATTCTTGACCTTTCGGATTTGAATCACTTTATCTCTGGTCAAACTTGCCATGTGACCACCATAGTCCAAGTTCACTGGGGTGTTGCAGGCATGTTCCTGGATGATGTCCCTGGACCTGTGAGAGATCTATTGGCATATTCTATTCATCCCAGATCAAGGAAGGACTGGATAGGTTTTGTGATGGAGTGTCAGGCTTAACTCTTCTGGATTTCCCCAATCAGCTCGAATCTGGCTCCCCAGACATTCTCGACGCTAGTGTGTGTAGTTTACAAACTAGGGATCTGGTTCTTTCCCAGCTCGCCAGGTTTAGGCTGCTGGTGACTTGGTGAAAGTTCCAGTTTGGTTCTGTTGCAGGTTTTGACTTGGTTGGACTTGCTCTGGAATTCTTGATTGGGTTCCATTTCCCTTCCAGCTGCCTTATGCTTCCCTTTAATACTTGTCTCTGGGTGGTGAGAGTGAGTCCCTGGGCCACCCATTAAGCAGCTGTGCAGAATTCTGAACTTCACATGTATCCTTTGGATAGTGTCTGGCTCCAGGCTCTGTGCCATTTTCTTTGACTCCCTCCTTTTTACTACCTGTCTTGGGTTCTGTGGGCACTTCAACAGCTTCAGGTTTACTAGTTTTCTCTTCAGGTTTTGGGGGGGCATGCTGTTCCATAGGCTTCCCCCCCCCCCTTCCTGCAATCTACCTCTCCATGTGATGCCATGTGATGCATGGGTGTGTGGGTTTTTGACCAGCATTCATCTAGCCTCTCAGGGTCATTGGGTGGGGCCTTGAGTTGGACACACAGCATGGTGTATGGATGTAAGAGTTCACGACAGTCTGGTATACTCTGTGGATTCTTCATTTCTCAGTGGGCTACACGGTCTTACTTCACTCTAATTGCTTCCCAGTGGTTCAGTCTTAATCATGAGGGGACATATTGGCATCTTTCTTTGTTGAGCTGGATGCTGTGAGTAGCTCATTTTCTGAATTCTCTGGGTTTGGCTCTCTCTGCAGTTCAAGTTCAGGACACGTCCAACCTTCAGGCAGATAATCTCTAATTTTTGCAATATTACCACGAAGTGTACCATCAACATTTCATTCTTACATTAGCTTTACAAAAGGCTTGGCAACCCTGAGGAGAACCTCTCTGGGTCAGCATGGGAACTGGCAGCTACTGGTTTGTGGTTCCATTCCTCAAACAATGCAGCTCCCTCAGTGGATGCCTTTCAGTTGGACTAAAATGGGTGTGAGTTTCTTTATCCTCTCCCCTTTGGTTTGGCTGTTGCTCCAGGTTCTAGACAGACTGGAGACATTTTCCAGCAGGGTTCTCTAGTTGGCAACATTTTGGCCAGCCCTGCTGCAGTTTTTGGTTTCATTTTCTGAGCACATGTCTTTTTCCATGGCTGCCTCTCAGCAGATAGCCCTATAGATGCTTTTTGATGTTTGAGGCTCTCCATCGATCTACACATTTGGAGCTCTTGAAGACTAAACCACACACCAGAAGATGAGGAGACGATGACGTTTCGGTCCGTCCTGGACCATTATCAAGTCGATTGTGATAGGGGAGTGAGGGAGGTACGGGCATTAAGTAAGGCAAGAGAGAGGAGAGGAATTTCCACCTAGGAGGAAATTTCCTCTAGGAATTTTCTCATCTCATCTCTTGGTGGCTGTTATTTAAGCTGTTACTTTGCCTGTGTATCCTGGTGGTACACAGGTGAAACTAACTACATAATTGCTTCATGACCAAGTGATTTGATAATCTCTGGCCTTTGCCATCCAATTTTCAGTATTTAGTTTACCTAACTGTTTGTATGTTTGGTTCACCATCTCTTCTGGTAGCCTTTTCTTGGTTAAGGTGAAACACACTCCCCTGCTCCTCCTCCTGCCTCTGGTTTCTGGTAGACTTACATTACTTGCAAGAGTCTAGGATGGATTGAATTGGGTGGAGCTTGCCGGGTAGCAAGCATCAAAGAACAACCAAAAAGGCATTTTAACAGTATTTTTTTATTTATCAATTTTGAAATAATTTGGATACGAAGGCGACTTCTGTGTGTATTTTATTAAAAGAATACTTATAAGTTATTATTGAAATATTAAATTAAAAATAGAGTAGTTATTTGACTAATTCTCCAATAATTTGATGGGCATGATCACGTTATAAATGCCTTATTTTACCACTGTCCTTCCTGTTCTTCAGCATCATCCTTACCTTCACCCATGAAGAGTCCGGCACGCTCGCCCATGGTGCAGACGCCCTGTGCACACGCCCTCTATGACTTTGAGCCAGAGAATCCCGGAGAACTGGGTTTTAGTGTAAGTTTAAATGGATAAAGTTTATAAACTTTTAATAAATAAGAATAGGTTAACGTGAATATAAAATTTTCTCTCCTCTTTCTGTTCTGTTTTCTCTCTCTCTCTCTCTCAGTTTTCTCTCTCTCTCTGTTTTCTCTCTCTCTGTTTTCTCTCTCTCTCAGTTCTCTCTCTCTCTGTTCTCTCTCTCTCTCTGTTCTCTCTCTCTTTCTGTTCTCTCTCTCTCTGTTCTCTCTCTCTCTCTTTCTTTCTTTCTTTCTTTCTTTCTTTCTTTCTTTCTTTCTTTCTTTCTTTCTTTCTTTCTTTTCTTTTTCTTTCTTTCTTTCTTTCTTTCCCCCCCCCCTCCTCCTTTTCCCCCCTCTCCTCTCCCCCTCCTCCTTCCCTATCTCCCCCCTCCCTCCCTTTCCCCCTCTCTCCCCCTCCTCCTTCCCTATCTCCCCCCTTCCCCCCTCCCTCCCTCCCCCTTCCCTCCTTTTTCTATTTCCTTCTTCCTTTCTTTTTTTTCTCTTTTTCCTTTCGTTCTTTTCTTTCGTTCCTTCTTTCTTCTGTTCCTTCTTTCGTCCGTTCCTTCTTTCTTTCGTTCCTTCTTTTTTTCGTTCCTTCTTTCTTTCGTTCCTTCTTTCTTCCGTTCCTTTTTTCTTTTGTTCTTTCTTTCGTTCCTTCTTTCGTTCCTTCTTTCTTTCATTCTTTCGTTCCTATTTTTTGGATTCCTTCTTTCTTTCGTTCCTTCTTTCTTTCGTTCCTTCTTTCTTCCGTTCCTTCTTTCTTCCGTTCCTTCTTTCTTTCGTTCCTTTTTTCGTTCCCTCTTTCTTTCGTTCCCTCTTTCTTTCGTTCCCTCTTTCTTTTGTCCCTTCTTTCTTTCATTCCTTCTTTCTTTTGCTCCTTCTTTCTTTCGCTCCTTATTTTTGTTCTTTCTTTCTTTCCTTCTTTCTTTCTTTCTTTCTTTCTTTCTTTCCTTTTTTCTTTCTTTCCTTTTTTCTCTCTGTCCTTTTTTCTTTTTTCCTTCCTTCTTTCTTTCCTTTTTTCTTTCTTTCCTTTTTTCTTTCCTTCTTTCCTTTTTTCCTTCTTTCTTTCCTTCATTCATTCGTTCTTTCCTTCCTTCTTTCTTTCATTCCTTCTTTCTTTCTTTCCTTTTTTCATTCTTTCTTTCCTTCTTCCTTTGGTTCCTTCTTTCTTTCCTTCATTCATTCGTTCTTTCTTTCCTTCTTTCTTTCATTCCTTCTTTCTTTCTTTCCTTTTTTCATTCTTTCTTTCCTTCTTTCTTTGGTTCCTTCTTTCTTTGGTTCCTTTTTTCTTTGGTTCCTTCCTTCCTTTTTTTCCTTTCTTCCTTCCTTTCTTTCCTTCCTTTTTTATGTTCCTTCTTTCCTTCCTTCTTTCTTTTTTCTTCTTTCCTTCTTTCTATCCTTCCTTTTTCCCTTTTATTTTATTTTCTTCCTTTTTTCTCTCCTTTCCTTTTTTCCATACCACTTTCTTTTTTCTCCTTTTCCTTCTTTCATTTTCCTTCTTTCCTTCTCCTTCCATCCTCCGCTCCCCCCTTTCCTCCTTCCCTCTCACCTCCTTCCTCCCTCCCCCTCCTTCCCTCCCTCCCCCTCCTTCCCTCCCTCCCCTCCTTCCTTCCTCCATTCCAGACTTTATTCCTTCCTTCCCTCCTTTCTTCCTTCCTTCCTTCCCTCCTTCCTTCCCTCCTTTCTTCCTTGCCTCCTTTCTTGCCTCCCTTCTTTAACTCCCTCCCTTCCTTCCCTGGCTTTCTCTGTGTTTGGGTCTAGTGGTAGGCCTTATCCTCCTCCCGTCTATGTACACGTGCTAGATTACTCGCCTTCTCCCCGTGGATATGCTTCAGTCTGCAATTTGATTCCAAATAAACATCTTATTTCCAGAGATTTGTCATCGCACATTTTTCTGTCTCCTGGGGAATCAGGACTTTCCTTTCCTTATGGAAAGGTATCCTTATGGATACAAGGTATCTTTTGAGTTCAGGCTTCTGAATTTTGGCTTTAGTATAAAATTCCTGATTCATGTTCAGCTGCTCTTGGTGCATTCTTTTTTGATAACTACTTTTTTTTGGTTACTGACAACCCTCTCCTTTTGTTGGGTTCTTTGCATGGCTTCTACCAAACCCAGATGCTTCAGTGGCTGGAAGTGAGTTGTCGTTTAGGTGTTCCTGTGTGGTTTCTTTTGTGCCTCTGGAGAACTGCATGTTTTTCCAATGTTTCCCAAGGATGTGGGCATGAACAGCTCCATATCCAGCTGCTTGTGCTCTGTAAAACCTTGACTGTGGATGACCATGGCACTAGTACCCACTTGGCAGCTGGTGTGTACATCTGGGCAGTGTGTTCTGGATGTTTTGCCGTTTATCCTTGCTGTGAGTGTCTTTCGCAGCGCTGTCCAAGTTGCTCATCTCCCTCCTCTGGGAGGCTGTGGCAGTGTTTTACTTGGTAGATTTACAGGTTGTGTTGACCCAGTCTTTAGATTTGACTCTTATGTCAGCCTCCTCAAAATGAGGAGACTGACGTCCATGAATTGGACTTTTCTGTGGGGAGCCCTGTTGGCTCCCTGAAGCTATCCAAACTGTCAAGTTCCATATTAGTTTAGTGTCGTCAGTCCCTGGAGTTCTATGTGCCTACCGGAGACCAGAGCCAGAACCTGGTCCACTCAGAGAGGCACAAGGAGGATTGGCCATATGAGCACTCTATATTTAGAGTTTGTCATATCTGCCATCGACTGAGGAAGGCACCCAGAAAGGTAGGCAAACCAATACAAACCTCTAGTTAAAATTGCAACCTACATCTGAACAGAGCCAAAGAACTCACCCAACTGAAAACAATGAAACAAGCAAATCGTTAATACAACTAACACGCCCGCTCGTTAGCACCCCCTCCTCCAACAGGAAGGAGCGGGGGCTGGCTCGGGCAAGCCGGCTGCTTCACCCCCATTTCTTGACTGATGCGCCAGGTGTTCACAAGTCCCCTCTGGCCTTAAATTTTGATTGACTTTTGCTTTTGTGGCTTTGTCAGCATTGTGTGGTATGGAGGCCAGGTGTTCTTAAAGTACACTAGGCTGCATGTGCCTAGGGCTACCGTCCCTAGGAGCCCGGTAAGTACTTCCCTTGTGTTTCAGGGTTATCTTCCCTGAGACGTTCGAGTCTCACTCCCGTTTAAGGGCTTCGTCGCTTGGCGCAGTTATCATCCTTGAGGTCCGTTGGGGATCTTGGGCTTCCCGTCTTGCCCCGGGTAGGGAGTGGGTTTTTACCTATGTGAGGGGGAGTAGGGTGGGGAGCAAGTTCTGGCTCTGGTAGGCCAATCAGGGCTCCTATTACTGATGTGACTCAGTAGTGGAAAGCCATTTAAGTGAGATAGCCTCAAGGAGCCATCAAGGCTCTACCAGAAAGATGTATTTGATTACATTGAATGCTAGTTTTTCCCTCTCAAAAGGATTGAATTAAGATCATCAATTGATTGATGAGAGAATTATTTCAATAGAATGTTGTCCAAGTCATTAAACGAGGTATTATATGATGTTTTTATAGTTAATGGTAAAGTTGCAAAATTTGTAAGAAGCATTCTTCACTTAAACATATCTTAGAGTGCCATTATTAACACATTATCTTAATATAACTCTCTTTACAGGAGGGAGATAACATTACACTCACGCAGCAGATTGACGAGAACTGGTTTGAAGGAACAGTTAATGGGAAGATGGGTTTGTTCCCAGTGAGTTATGTGAATGTGACGGTGCCTCTTCCTTAAGTCTCTTAACATCCCTGCCTGAAGCCGCCACCTGCTGAGACCCATGGGATCTTCATCTACTGTAGATGGAGTGCTGTTGAAGTTGACTGATCTGTTATTGTTACTGAAAGTGTAGTTTATCTGCAGTAGAATAATTTATGTAAATAATAAGTTTAGTGCGTGGAAATCCTTTGATTTCATATTCCAGAATTATATTTTAATCGGGGTAATTCATGTTATAAAATAAAGTACTGTAATTAGTATTAAAACAGATAAACCTAACAAAACAAAAAATCTCAGAAACCCTTTTAATAGTTAAGTAAAAGACGTATAAAACTGTGTTCATTGGTAAAAGTACATTTAATGCTGTAGTGTTGCAGTCAAATAATTAATACAGCAACATGATAGGCACTGTTGGTGAATCAGGCCATTGTTAAGCTCTTTATCAAGTGTATTGAATATTAAAAATAATTTAAAAATTATTATACAAATAAACTAAGGTTAAATATTATTAAAAGACATTTAATTGGCATGTTTGATTCAAGTTCCAGTATTAATTTACAATGCTGAAAGTAAACCAAGCATAAACAATTTCAGATTGATTCATGGAAGAGGGATCACCACGAGCACAGCTCTCGTCCTGTAACTACACCAATTACCCAAACCATATATGTTAAACCTGAAGGTCTTGTTAGTTTTACACGATTAGTGATTTTTTTCCCCAGTTTGTAACGAGCACTGTCCTACGTTTTGCAAACAACTTTTAAGACAATTGATACAAGATATCATAGGCGCGCTAGCCACACAAAATTCACCCTCCCACTCAATGTAGACATTTTTCTGGAACATAGATGAAACGGTGACAAAAAAAAGTATATTTGTATACCCAAATAAACAATAATTAGACATTGACTAACAAAAATATAATTGAAAATATAATAAATGAGGGGAACCATAAATAAATATATTGATTTTTTTTTTAGCATTCTTAGAAAATGTTATACATTACAGCTATTACAGAAAAAAAACTAAGTTAAAGAATATGATTCTCAGTATATGAATGCATCCTATTGACAATATATCTCTATTGTGACAATATATCTAGAAAGTAGACGAGAGAGATACCAAATAATATACACATGGAAAATATTGGAGGGTCAGGTCCCAAATCTACACAGTAAAAAACAACGTACTGGAGTGAACGATATGGAAGAAAATGCAAGATTGAACCAGTAAAGAGCAGAGGTGCCATAGGCACAATCAGAGAGCACTGTATAAACATCAGAGGTCCGCGGTTGTTCAACGTCTTCCAAGCGAATATAAGAAATATTGCCGGAACAACCGTGGACATCTTCAAGAGAAAACTAGATTTATTCCTCCAAGGAGTGCCGGACCAACCAGGCTGTGGTGGGTATGTGGGCCTGCGGGCCGCTCCAAGCAACAGCCTAGTGGACCAAACTCTCACAAGTCAAGCCTGGCCTCGGGCCGGGCTTGGGGAGTAGAAGAACTCCCAGAACCCCATCAACCAGGTATATTAGTGATTCAATTATTATATTTATAAAACAATAAACAAATAGTTTTGCTCCTATTACACTCTATACACAGGTTATATATAAGTATTGGCATGTTTTGGTCACCATAACGAACCACTAAGTTGGTATTGAGAGTCGAAAAGTAACGAGGAGTTACCGCCACACACCTGCCAGCCACTCGCTGCCACTCCCTCAACACACGCACTAAACTTTCTCCCCCACAATACCATCTGTGGTGTTATTACACTATATACAGACGTTATATATAAGTATGTATATATTTTGTTCACCACAACTGTACAGCTAAGCTGATATAGTTAGTTCAGGCACTAAGAGTCGTCGATATACACAGATGGCGGCTCCCTCACTCATTCAAGGTCACACGCACTAAACTTTCTCCCCCAACAATACTGTTTGCAGTGTTATTACCCTATATACACATATTATATATAAGTATCTACATGTTTCATGCACCGTAACTGTACACCTAAGCTTGTAGTGCGCCCAAAGAGCATAGTGGCCACCCTCTAAACAGCTAGACAAATCGTGCAGACGACGTCACCTCCGTCACCCATATGGCTCCTCCCAGCATAATCCTTTTGCTGTTATTACACTAATACACACATTATATATAAGTATCTACATTTGTGTTCACCATAGAGAACCACTGACCTGGTATGGTGAATGCAAACAATAACAGGTGGCCACACAGTCAGTAAACGATGCTGTATCCCTCCGTCTCTCAGCATCACTCCTCCCACAGCACTAATTATTACAACAATCCTGCTATTATCACAACCCTGGTTATTTATATCACAGTCATGGGTCATCTGTAATATTGTCATCGCTAAATAATAACAATTATATATTTATTTTGACATTTTTCGGCGATGCTGTGGTCACAAGCTGAACATCAATGCTGTTCGCTCATGCTGCGTGCGCCGGCCTTGGTTGCTCCATCAGTACTGTGCCTCTCACACCTGAGAATATTGCCCACGATTTTTTTAAAAAACGGCATCTGTTTACAAGAGCCCTGAGGAAGCTACTGTAAACCCCATGTAGCCGCGGGCCATTTGAATTGGGCCTGGCACCCTATGGTGTATATATACGCCATGCGCACCGTGGGACATGTTACTCAGGGCGTATATATACACCATGCACAGTTTAATGGTTAATAGTCTATATAGTCATAATTATAGCTTTAAGTATTCAATGAATAAAGTTTTGACATTTTTACCCTTCTCCTTACCTAACATCATTTGTGCAGCATATTTTTATTTTATGTCTCACCCAGATTTAATTTCAAAATAAAACCAAACTAAATAAATTAGAAATGGGTATGTATAGCTAAGGTACACCCTTACTACTAGGTGAACAGGGGCATTTGGTGATAGTATATGATCCCATCAGGGAGGGCTCATCACCTTCTCTCATATTTCATGTTCACCAGTGTTTATTTACTTAATAACTACGGGTATAATATCTTGCTATTATAAAACTAATTCTACTACCATAAAAGACATATTTACTTTAAGTTTCAAGCAGAGAATACATATATAACTAATACGAAGGACTCCTCTTCACTAGATTCAATTTTTATAATCTTTTGTTTATGTTCCAAAATCTTAAAATCGATCCCAGTGTTATGTAGTAGAGAAAAATTGAGTTATATCCAGTTTACGTAAAGTTACGAGTGGTCGAAACCACACTTAGATCCCGGAATAAACTTACGAAGGTTTTTCCACTTAGTGTAGCTACCTGAATACCGACGTAGCCGCCACAAAAGCGCTAAGAAGGAAAACATTCGTAGCTAAGAAGAAAAACCTTCGTAAGTACCTTCCTGAATCCGGCCCCTGGTCAGCTCGAAGAGTTGCTGTGGCTGACCTCTAGAAAATCAGTGCCATCTATTGTGGGAGGAGTTGTATGTTTATGTCAGATTCCGTAAGTGGTATTTACTAGTGTCCCCAGTACTGGCCAGTTTACTGATGATGTGTCTGTATCCATAGAGGCGACGTAGGGCTGCAGTGGTATGAGGACAGTCAGTCTACCCAGGGCAGCCTGTTATCTTTCTACTTCATTCTGCTTAACGTGAGCAGTGAGCCGCCGCTGAAGAGGAACTGAGTAGTATCTGCTGTCTGCCTATGAAGTGGCAGTGACAGAATTCGGCGTATCCCGGGACTGGCTAGAGGAAGAGACGACCGACAGTGAGGTGCTACGGAGGAGTGTAACTAGCTAGTTGCAAGAAGCTCCTGCCAGGGGTTCGCTACCCTTGTATTTGTTCGTGTAGAAGCCCAGCAGCACGAGGCTGATGTTTTCTGCCAGCACCAGGCTGGAGAGTGATCGTGGGCGTTCACAAGGAGCACTTAGTGAGACTGTAGAGAGGCTGGCCCATGGCTAGGGTAGACTCGTTGGTGTTTCCCAGTACTGGTTGAGGATGGTACTGTGTGTTGAGGAAATACGGAAGTTGACAAGGCTGCATTGCATGAGCATCGAGGAGCGCTTAGTGTCCTATGAGAGCGACACATGTGTATATATCAGTGTAGTAATACTTCGTTTATGATTCTATTTAAGGTAATGGGAAAGTAATATGTGAATATATTGATAATTGATGATGTATCGTATTCCTTTCAACTCTCCCCTTGTCTTTTACTTGCATTACCCAGCTCACTCCTTGAAAGCCACTACCGACTTGGGGTCGGATACTAGTATTTTGCTTTCTCTAGCAAAGAACCCGGTTGCGACCCATAAAGGTCATAACACCTACTCATCAACATTGATGTTCCACAGGGCAGTATACTTGGCCCTCTCCTCTTTCCCATCTACATTAATGACTTTCCAAATGCCTCTCAACACCTCAAACCAATCTTATTTGCTGATGACACAACCTTCATTTTCTCCAGTCCTGACCCTCTTGCTCTAAATGTCATAGTGAATGCTGAACTTAATAAAGTCCATCTTTGGCTAACTGCTAACAAACTCACCCTTAACATTCCTATCTATATAAATAAAAATGGAAATGTTCGTTTGTTCAAAATCGCTAATCTCAAAGTTCTTCATCGATTACTTTGAAATTTTCACACAATGTTCTATTCGCATCCAGCCAGATTTTTATATACATACTATATAGATGTCACGTCTGTGACGGTAAGAAAATAAGCTTTTTCTGAAAAATTGTGTTTTTCATGTGAGGGAAATCTTCGAAAACTCTTTACCGATTGCTTTGAAATTTTGACACAACGTTGCATACGAATAGGCGCGTCTTTTTATATATCTACTATATACATGCCTCACCTGTGACAGGAAAAAAACATTTTTTTTTGAAAAACTTCGCCATCTGTTGGATGTAAGAGCAACACACACTGCAATTTCCGAAAGTTCTTCACCGATTGCTTCGAAATTTTGACACAACGTTCCATTCGAATACGTGCATGTTTTTATGTACCTACTATATAGATGTCACAACTGTGACAGGTAAAAAACATGTGTTTATGAAAAATAGCGCCATCTGTTGCACGTATGAGCAACATACAATATACAAAATATGTTACGATTCCATTTCAATATTTCCAATTGCACTGATAAATGGAATTTTCATAGATTTTGATTTATTTTCATCTTCATTTAATTATTTTGTGTGAC